AATAAGTTGTGGTTGTTTCTCACCAGTGAGGTTGCAGCGGCAGGGCATGCAGCTCAATCCCGCCCCCTCCAGGTAGAAGCCGTCCTTGCAGCGCTCGCAGTGGCGGCCCTCAGTGTTTCCCTGACAGTCGACGCAGTGCAAGCCCCAGGCGTCCCGAAGGCAGTAACGAGATCTCCCATTGCAGCTGCATCGCAACGTCGCTGCAGGAGGAGACAGAAAGTAAAAGCCACATTTATTTATATTAGTTTTTAAAATTGTTTTCAATGATTGTGTTTTAAGGAAATGTTCATATCTTTAGAAATCATCTCCTCTATTAAATTTAATGGGAATCTAACGACCGACTGTGGAGATAAAATCAGTTCTTTTCACTGAGCTTTAACCTGCATTAGAACTGTTTACAGAGTGTGAAGCTCCTTGTATGTTCTGTGGTTTGTTCAGAAATCCCAGAGAGAGCTGCCACTCCCAGCCTGAAGCCCTGCAGACAAATCCTCAAAGTCCACCGAGTCCCACCCAAAACCAACCACCGCCCCGTCTGAGGAGAGATCATCACTCTGACAGACACCAACATCCAGCAGTGAGACATAAAAGCGTCATCCTAAAGTCTGATTACGTTTCAACAAGCCTATACTTGTTATTGCTGTTGGCAAAGAGGGAAAATTTCAGACCCCAAAATAGTGTTTAATGGAAAAAGTTATGTAGTGACAGGTCGGTAATTGACCTCCGCACTGTAAAGACAGTCTGAGTCTTCTGAAACCTGCAACTTTGTTGTCTTTTCAACATACATTAGCCTAGCACATAGCATATCAAAGTAAAGGAAAGTCAATGCAAACTGTTGTGTTAATTTTGTTGAGCTGAAACAGTTACATTTTAAACACTGAAATAACAAAATATTAAAGACATAAATGTTGATTAACCAAATCAGTTCCAGTGTGAAATTATTTCAAATAAATGTATAAGTAAGGTCAAAAATGCCCCTGCAAGAAAACTTTGTGCACTTTTGTCTGAATATAATTGAATAACTATGCGATAAAAGGTAGAATTAAGAGATAAAAGTCTAAATTATGAAATAAAACTTGCAGAGAGGTAGAAGTAGTGATTTTTAAGGTGGAATTGCTTTATTCAGTGTTTTTACCAGTTTTGATCAGTGGGTCTGTTTTGGATCCCCTAGGGGCAGAAGTGATGTATTGTACCTTTAAAGGGACGTTGTGATGTGTTTGTGTTGCAGTTAAATCCACAGGATTTTAAATGGACTTTGGTGTGAAGGTTCTGAGTTATTTCTCCACACAGACTTGTGTAAACACTGAGGTGAGTTTAAGGTGTGTCTGTTTGTTCTGCTGTCCTGACGAGGTTCACCTCAGATCACTCCTCACATCTCCTCAGTGACTCACTCTGTGATCGGAGTTAATGTTTACCTGAGCGCCGCCGGCAGCTCTGAGCTCAGCTATTACGACTTTTATAGGACGGTTCCTGACACGAGTCTGTCTGAGAGGAGTGATGACTTAACATATACAGTAATAATAATAAAACAATACAACATAGAGAAATAACGATGAGTTAGCTCAACTCAGGCTGCCAGAGGAAGCTGATCGCCTTCAACCATTTAAGTTCATTAACTATTTAAGAATGAAAAAGATATTTGATTTTAATAGAAATAACAAAGCAAGTGAAGTTAAGGTAACTTGGGTAAATTAAGGTAATTGTATCAATTCTATTCAGTTAATATGCAGCATTTCTCCAAACTAATTTAAAATGTGTTCACATTATTTACCTGATTAAAGTAATTTAAATGCTTCTTTATACAAATGTTTCCACTTCAGTTGAATTAACTCAGTTTTCTTACCTGTCAACTTACAATTAATCAATAATCAGCTGATCTCATTGTATCTGCTGTAGTTGCTTTTTTATGTGTCAAACATCAAATCTTTACATTTTGGAGGCTCATTAAGAACTTGCACATATTATGACTTATTAACTGAAATTAAAACAAGAATGAAAAATTCAATTTAAAGAAAATTAGTCACTAAAACAAACTGGAATTATATCAGCAATATTTAAAATACTGCATTCAAAAGAATTATTACTTCGACAATTCATTTTTGAGTTGGATTTAATTCATTGAGTGATTAAATTAACTTTTCTTATTTACATATGCTGTTAGGCTTTACAGTGTACTGTAAAACAATATATATACCAAAACTATTTACAGTAACATTCATTAATAAGTTATATTATACTATTTTGTGCAATGAATTCAGTTACAGTTACATTCATATTAAAGTTGTAAGTTTTGACTTTCTGGTTAGAAATAAACTGCCACATAATAATATGGGGTATTTAGATATACTGAAGAGAACTAATATGTGTGTATGTACGTTACAGATGATATCTACTGACTGTTCGTAAACTCTTTATCCATAACCTCTAATAATGATGCTTAAATAGATTAAATACAGATTAAATCTGTGCATTGTGAAAGTTACAGTAATATATTATTATTATAGCTTTCTGCTCATTTGTAATTTTGTCTGTTGGGTATTCAGGCAGGGGCATTGTGCTAAATGCTAAATGCTAATAGTATGACATATATGGTTTTGCATTAATTTGAATGACCAATGATCATTTGTAGCATTTAACAGCTATTAACCATTAAAACCAGTTAAAAAAAAGGAGAAAGTCTTTAACTTTAAAGCTTTTTATGCACTAATTGTTTTCATGATTCCAGATTTCAGGCGGTGCTGCAGCATCCGGCGCCCATCACCAAATTTGATGGTCTCTACGGAGACCAAGACTGGCTAAGCAATACATGAGAAGAAAGACGTGCTGGAAAATTACATGTCGACACTTGTTTGTTACATAATGTAAAGGGTCAAACACGCAGCTATTCACAGAATATTTTAGGAAACTAAACATTTTTAAAAGACAAGAAAAATACCAAAGACATGACCTCGATGGAAGCGACGAGTTTGGGTAACATAGTGCTTTAAACACTGTAGATTCCTTTAATAAGTAGATTCATTTTAAACTTCCAATAGAGACTAAAAACAGCCTTTAATTCTCCCAAAATATAGTTTTATAACAGATCTGACTTATACTGTAGAATCAGCTGATTTAACTCCAATTATTGTTGAAACTGAAGTTAAAAGTAAAACTAACTCAAATTTGTAAGAACCATCGTTTATAAAGTAGTTTTAGTCATTTTATGTGACTTAATTTAGTTCTGTTAAAGCTAAACACCCAGTCAAAAGTTCTTCATCAGGAATGTTTCTTACAAAACTATGTTGGTGTCACTTAAACTTACGAGTAAAAGCTGCTTCATCATAAATATTTTTAAACTTAAACAACTGAAGAACTTTAATTAAAACAGTCTCAACTCTAAAATAATAGTGAGATTTATAAATAAAAGCAGAGAGAAAGTTCTCAGGTGAAGAATAAAGTGTGGCAGCAGTTTAAAGATGCTGTCCTCCTTCAGTAATGTGGCGTTCAGGGACTCACCGTAGTGTGTGTAGGTTTCCTGGACGGCACAAAGTGCAGTCAGAACCCCGCAGAGTGAAATCCAACTGATCCTCATGATGAATCCTCTCAAATCAGATCAAAAAACTCCCGCAGCTCCTGAAACCGTCGCCTTTTAACGGCTCTCCCTCCCGCTGCAGGTCTGAACACGCTGCATATACTCACATGTGATTCACGCACACACACAGTCAGAGGATATGACTGACTGTGTGTGTGCTGGGGCGTTGTTCTGGACCTTCGCTGGCAACAGTTTTTTACATTCTCATGACACAAAGACGTTTCACAAGTCAGAAATGAACAAATGTGATGGAGTGAATACACGCTCTGTTCCAGAAATGGAAAATATTCTAATTGAGAATCTGATTGAGACGATGGATGTTCAGACTGAAGCAGCTGAATGGCACCAATAAAACAATAAAATCAGCATTATCTGTATTGATTCATCTTACTTTGGTGTTTTAAAGTCTGAAGGTGAAATACATTGTTCAAACAACTGAGAGTCCAACTGAAACAGTAAAAGTTATATTAACCAACACACATTTACAATAACAGCATACAGACAGTTCATAAAGGCTTTGAAGTATTAAAGAAATCAAATATTCAGAGCTTCCAGTCTTTATGCTAAGCTAAGCTAACCAGCAGACAGGAGGTGGATACGTGAACATCTGGACAGAAAGGGAAGAACAAACAACTCAAGGACCTCCTGCTGGCTTCTTCTGAAGCTTTTGACCACCCCACAGGGTCTTCATCAGCTCAGCTGGGTTATATATACTCTATATAACACTATAATATATAAATATGGAACAGTACAGTAGTTTCTATAATATAGTAATAATAGTATCTACTTGTTACTTCTGTGTCTTATTGTGTTTATTGTTTTTATTATCCATTTATTCTTTATGAGGGTTTTGTTTTCATTCTTCTCTCATTATGTGAACACTTTTACTGTATTTTACTGTATTTTCACTGTGTTTTCACTGTGTTTTTTCTTTACTGGCATTTACATTACATACATTTTCTTTTTACTGGTTTTCACTTTGTATGATCTGTTTTACTTGCTGTTTTGCTTATTCTCGACATATTGCCAGACACAGGACAATCATACCAGAGCTCCTTGAACTGTGGAACTGAGGGAGTGTTGATTGCTGTCGTTCGGTAACTCGCCGGCCTGCAGGGCGATTCTGGTTTGCTGCTGGGATTGTCTTCTCATGGCATAAACTGTGTCCTGGAGGGCTGAAGTTATGACACCGTGACGACACCCTGAACCTCAGACAGCACATTATGTATCATCCACAC